CCCCAAAACCCCAAAACCCCAAAACCCCAAAACCCCTATTAGTTCTGATATAATTGAGACATAAAATTTAGCTCAATAAAGCTTCTGGGTCCGATTCTCTGACATGGATTCTTCTCTTCTTATTTTCATGCTGAGCTGCCTTATGTCCGAGGAATCCTCCAATAATAAGAGAGATGAATCCAAGGATAGATACAGCTACAATGAAATGCAGGGTGAATGATCTGTTTGATTGGGCGCTCTGATTCTCACTAAGCAAAAGAGTATGTTTAGGAGATGAACAACTACTAAGTAAGTTTGCTTCAGCAACAATTTCTGATACCAAGGAATTAAAGCTGGTATATTCGCATGAGGTTTGATCCTTGCATTCTCCTCCAAGCTTTAGTAGTTCCTTATTGTATTCAATTGATACTAGATATCCCTTTTCAGAATCTTTATTCAAATGAACTAGCAACTGAGAAGCGAATTGAGGGAGTTGCTGGTGATTGAATCCAAGATGTCTTGAGATAACATAAGTAGTCTCAACAGTTCCAAAGTAAAGTCCTAGCTTCATCTTATTATAGTTATCAACATTAGAATCATCATATTGCTTCTTTGCATCTTCCAAATATCTATAGTTGGTTATTTTTGAATATGTGAAAAACTCCTACCTTTGTAAATCAGTGAAGAATCCGTGAACGAAAATTTTTCTGGACTCTTCTGAACTCCAGTATTGTTCCAAGTAATCAAATCCAAAAGCAAGAAGTTGACTCTTAACAGAATCAATTTCTTTAGAGAAAGTATCAAGATTAAAGGAGCAAGCATTTAGAGCATCAATGTGAGAGTAGATTTGATGAATAGTGAGGTCATCCTTCTCCATGAAAGTCCTGAATTTAGTGAGAGCATCAGCATATTTCTCTTCTATTTGCTTCTGCCATTCAGAATCTTTTACATTTTTTTCATTCTTTTGATAGATTTCAGGACACCATTCACCCATAAGAACAGTATCTTTATGGAAATCCATAGCATGGATTGGTAGAGTTTGGAAGTTTAATGGCATAATCTTATTTTTAAGTGCTTTAATTTCAGAGTCAATGATTCCATTATCACCTGGAGGTACAGCTAGTCCAGCTTGATTTGCTGTCAAGTCAGGTCTAGTGTTAGGAGGGAAGATTGCTTCCAATTCTGCTTGAGCAGCCATCAAAGTCATGTTATGATTAGTACTTCTCACATTTACTTGCCATGGACTATAGATGTTATCCAATTTAAGGTTGGAAGCATAATTGGTTGCCAAATCTGATCCGACAAGATAGTGCTGTCTTAACCCCATTGGAGTAATCTCATTAGGTCCAAATTTGAAATCACATTTAAAGATATTCTCTCCATTAGGAGACCTTGCCCCTTCAGAAGTCAACTGTGCCAGAAAGACGTTCTCTTCAGCTCCACTAGCCATAAGCACGACGATCAAGAGCCCTATAAAAATTTTCATCTTTAATATTATAACAAACGCTTCATCTAAAGTCTTTTTATTAGGGGTTTTGGGGTTTTGGGGTTTTGGGGTTTTGGGGTTTTGGGGTTTTGGGG